TGTAAAAAAAAAAAATTGCAAATCCGTAAACCATTTTTATCTTGTAAACGACAGTACGCCAGTTGTCATATTTTGTGTGACATCGAAAAATTGTACCAATTTATGTCGTAACTTGTTAAAGCTGACCCTTTTTATTGTAACGTGCGTGGTTTTGAAAACCGACGATAAATTACGAGATTGTGATTTTAGTTAGCAAAATTAATAAAAAATAAAAAAAGAACCGTTTCAAAATAAAAAAAACCCAGCACGACACAAGTATATCCGATCACGCTTCTCAGTAGAAGATCGATTCTTGTTGCGCAACCCAATCGTCTTGCTTCGACAGATGGACTCTACAATTATCCTATCGCGGCTGTGTTCGATCGTGTTTTCCCTCCGGCTTAATGGAATAGAGATCAGCCAATTAGGAAGGCGCGATTTATCCGCAAACAGTAAGAATTTAACGACATTTGGGCTCCCTCCTGTTCGGCGTTACAATGCCCACTGGAGACGCGCGCGGTTAATCTGCTTAATCTAGCGTGTGGAACGCCATTTTGGCGGCGAGCCAATCTCGCCCGGCTTCGGCCGGATGGTCCGGGCGGGTTCTCCAGTGGCCGAAGATCATTGTAACCGTAGTATAATGGAACCGCGTTATGCGAAATGGTCGGCAATCGTCCGACGATTGCTTCTATAAAAGAGTAAAAGAGGCCGATGATTGTGCCGGTTCTCGGGATCGGCACTCTCCTCGATAGCTCCGCGCGAATATTTCTGAAAGCGCGCTCGTAAAAGTTTGATTTTCGGCTGATAACTCTCAGATTTCTCTATGCTCTATTCTTTCGCAATTGCCAGCCCTGCAATTATGTTCGTAAATCTTTTCGGAGAAATAATGGCATCTCTTGGAACCGCGGTATGTTTGCTTCCTCATCGCGCCGCAATTTAAGGGCAGTTAACGAAACTATTAGAGAATCACTTGCCGAGACTGATGTGAAATAATTAACACGATTGCCCTCCTGCTCGCTCGATTGCTGCCCGAGATATTGCAAAAATAAGTAACGACGAGCTATTGTTCGGGGAGCGGATTTATTTTTTAGTTGAAACGGCACAGGGAAGTTTTCCTGATTTACGTCCGGTTGCAACGAGAAAGAGGGAAGGGCGGCAGCTGGGAAAAAATAATTCTTCCGCTCATCGTGCCGTGGACGCAGCTTCAACCGTGACATAAATCACGGCAAAGCCGCGCCGTCTCTCGCACCTCGCGATGGCGGACGGATGATGCGGAATTACCGAGCTGCACTTTGTAATATTAAAAGTCCGGATAATGTATCACTATTAAAATGTAGCAGCCTGAAGTTATACGCCTCGACAGCGGCCGCTAGTAAATTTTTATTTCCCGAGCTAAGCCTTCGGTGGTGCTATTTTCGCGTTTTAAATAGTGGGAGGAATTGTACATAGTTTACCTCTTTACGCTTTATCTCTTTACGTTTTCGCATTAATTTGCAAATAGCGCATGAAATTTATCTCTATTAAGCATTTGTTCTAAGCGAGACCATTGTTTCGCCGATCTTAATCCCGCAATGCATGATTTATTCCATCGTATTTATCTCTGCGTGGATGCGCGACGTAAACGCTATTTATTAACAAATGTAATTATTTTTGCTTAAGCTTGACGTTCCCTTCGCATATGATTTTCTTCCGGCGTTAAAAATTATAAGAAGAACGGTATATATAATTTGAGTCAGCTATAATCTCCGCTGTATACAAAAATCTTAAAATATCACAAAATACGTTTCCTTATAAAAATATCCTTTGCAGTAAAATATTTTTGTACCTGTTCTTATTTTGTTTACCGCGAACTGCACAGCGAACAATTTATTTGGACTCATAATAAAATTTTACTTTTACTCTTTAAAAATAAGAGACAAAAACAGATGAAAAATACAGAAATATTGTATTTTGTCTGACGCTTAAATAAAAAAAATGATTGCGATAAACAATTTGCTGAAATGGAATAGAATAGATTCAATATTTATTGGGTAAACGTTAAATTTAATTCCATAAAATGATCCAATACTCAATAAAATTTATATAAAATGAAATGAACAATAGACTAATCTGATAAACTTATGTTGGAGAAACGATGATAGAGACACACTGACATCACGAAAATATTCATAGTTAGACATCGTAAATTTCATTTATGTCTGTTGCACTGTTTGTATCGCGCCTGCTCATTTTTTTCACTCAAGACCGACAGTCAATATTTTTTCCTTAAACAGGCAAATAATTGCGGCTTGGATTTGTTGTTAAACGGAAGTACTGGCAATCGGAAGAATAAATATTTATATGTATAAGCAAAAATGAAGCACGTTGCGCGGTGCGCACCGTTGGTAAAATAAATTAAGCTCGTTGGATCTTGCTCAGGGAATCAACGGCGACGACTCGGTTTGCAGGTCGCGTTTGCTTTAAACCTTCACAAGCGGAATTAACTGGTAGGCAACGCCCACCTTGCGGTTTTACTCCGAGCCGCTCAGCGAGGCTTAATTTGGCCACGTTGAATAACAAGGTGGCGAATAATCCTATATCGGGTCAATATAAAATACGCCTTGTTTTGTAACACAACACACATTCAAAGCACAGTTTAAACTAGCAATCAATACGCCTGTCGCGTGAAAAACTGCTGTTTGATTTGTGTGTGTGTGTGTGTGTTGTTGTTGTTGTTGTTGTTGTCAAAAAATAAATGCGATCATTTCATCACAAAAGATTGTAAATTACGTTTCAGCAATAATTTTCATTATAATCTGTAATAATGTTCACAGAATTTTCTATAATCTCTCATTTCGGAGCGGTAAATAAATGTTTGAAAGTAAACGAATAATGTAACATCTTTACACATTCTATTTAGAGCGTTTATTTCAATAAATAAATGCATTAGCTTTTGCTTATGCAAGCACTTATTCGCTTTATGACCTATTGCGAGCTTCTTTAATTATGCGTTGCATAATATTTGCAATTTTGCGCGCACAAAGCAGCTTTTCAAAGTACCTCGCGCCGTAATTCGCGAAAAATGCGAATATGTTTCACATCGTGTCTTGTTTTTATTATCGCGATCTTCGCTAAATGCAACTTAACGCACTTGCTCACGGGCGATTGACTGAAGAATGAAACGGCTAAAAAATACGCTTTTCGCCTGATCATTTTAAGCGGCCGACTCCATGACAGTTTATCGTGAGAACTAGGTGAACGCTCGCCATGTCATAAGTTTTGCATCGATGCTCGTCATATACGGAAACTGCAAGCGATAAAACACGCTCGAATTGAAGCGTAAAACATACTTCAAACTGTAAACCATCGATCTTCTTTCGCAATTTTTCTGCCGTTTAATCCCACGCAATCCCATGATGCGATATAAACCACTCTGCAAGATTAAACCGAATATCGAGTAGCTTAATCCGTGCATTTCGAACGCTCATAGTCGATGGAAACAAAGATCGATACATGGTCATCGAAAAGGAAAAAAAAGATACGTTTTCATCCGCGCGTATTCAGTTGCGGAAATAATTTTTATTTCTCGTGAAGCGGCCGAGGGCCGCTTTTGGCATTTAATTATTCTAATTTTCCGCACGACGGGGTGAACATGATAGCGGCCGAGTTTGCGCTACATTTTGTCAACTCCAATAATCCTTGCGGAGAGTCGCTTATACGAGGACTGAAATTGCGAGAAACATTTACGTAATCCGCCACGTTATAATTCAAGATGATTAACATACAGTTGAACGGGGAACTTTACGCTGACTCGCTCGTAAACGCCGCTGGCGATTTACATTCTCGACGTCCTGATGACGATTCCGCGAGGATCTTAGGCGGCAGCGTTTAACGTTATTTGCCGGACAGGAGCGCGGCGGCGGGCATCTCAAAGGGTTAAAAGTTCAAAGATTACCAAAAGCGCGACTCGCGCATCGAGTTTCCTGGGAGTTTCCGTAAAGCAGCCAGGTGCAAACGGATCTGATCGCGGCGAATGCGCGGCGAATGCGCGGCGCTGCCGGCGGGGCGGTCTCGAGGCGAAAGAAGCACTCTTTCGACTTGGATGCCGTAAGTTTCGCTCGCGGCGGAACAAAGCGGAGCGACCGATGATGAGGAAGTTTTCAATTCTTCGATCTCAGTCGCGTCGCTCTCTGCTCGACAGGATCGGATCTGGAGTTTACTCTCGCATAGAAAATCACTCGCATCGACGTCTCGCGTGTTTATCGAGTTTAACTTCGCGTCTCTGACTGTGTTCCCCACATTGTAACGCTGTTCGAGGAAATAACGGATGAAGGATTACGCGCGATGTCTGATAGCGTTACTTTCCGCTCTTTTGTGGAAATATCGCTCTTTGACGAGATAAAAGGGATTCGAAGCAGAATTACGAAACTTTCTGTGTTATCTTTCCTCTTCCACGTTTTTAATTTACTTAAAATTAAGTTGTCGTTTCTATAAGATTTTATATATTCCGGAATAAGACGAGTACGAGAAACACTGTGCTTCATTTCCAGTGTTTATTCAACGATAGAGTCTTCATTTAATTGTAAAATATGCATTTACTAATTTCTCTCTGCTGTGATTATAAATTGAGATTTTGTAGAAAAAGGACAAATATGCAAATCTCTTAAATTGATTTTATGGATTAAAAATTAAACGAGAAATCAAATTTTACCTTTACCTGTCTTGCGCTTTGAAAACTTAATTATCAAATTAACGTGAATTACTTCTATTTTAATAACCATTATTTTTTTTTTACGAATTTCGAGTAAAAATAAGAAGTGTGCTCTTAATATTTCAAATTCTATTTGTGTATCACTTTGTACTTGTAATTCACGTATGCTATTTAATCAAATTAAATTGAATCAAATTAATTAAATTAATAATCGTACGGATATGTTACACGTATGCATATAATTCGCAGAAAATGGTCGGAAGAAAGCAGTCGACGGATTGCATCCGTGGAATAGATAAGAAAATTGCGTTAAGATAAAAAAATCACTTACCAAGCTGACAACGATCCCCACCCCTTCCGAGAGGACACTGGCATCTCTGTCTGTACGTTTCTTGCTTTCGTCTAAAGTTCACGGTATTGCCCTCGAGGTCCACGGCGTCGTCGTCGTCGTCGTCGTCCTCGATCACGACATCAACCTCATCTCCGCGAGATTGTTCGATATAGCAATTTCCAGCCGGTCCGCAGTCCAAGGAACACGCTGGCTCGGTGCTCACAATGCTCTCCATCGTAGATGGCAGTTTTTGCTCCAGATTTGGACCCTGAATATCCACGGAACAAGAAGTATCATCACCAGTTTCATATTGGATCGCTTCGTATTGATTTTCACGTAAAAAACAAAATTGAGAATTAAAATCGTACATTTTGCGCTATTACAATTAATCACAGTAATTACAGACACTAAAATATTCTTCAATTAAAAACCCGGTAATTACATGATTGATAAAAGTATTAAATACTGTTCAATTAAATGTTATGAAATCGTTGAACGACATGTCTCAAATATATCATTGCAAAATGTGCTACCATTTAACATAACGTGATTTATTTTATTATTTAATCTGATTCTGCATTAGCTAGCGCATTTTGTAAAGTATACATGTCATTCTTGATTTATTTTAAATAAATATAATTTTAAGTAAGATTGTTTTTGAATTAAATCAACGAATTAGAGAGAATTCAGCAGAAGCTTTTACAATACTTTTTACCGAGTTATGAACATGACAATGTGAGAAAAATATGTGAATATGGTAAGCAGTCAAAAAGAGACGTATGTATATTATTTATGGATCGACCCGCTTCCTGACATGTACCTCATCATTTATTGATCATTCTGCTTGCTGTTGTCGATTCGAGGGCAAGAAATTTTCAGAAATAATGGCCTGCTGTATGTTAAGAAAGCTGCAACGGATGTGAAGTACCTGTTGCATGACTCGCGTTTTTTATTTGAAGGAGCTTTTGAATAAAAATTGGACTCTAGAACCTGCAAAATGCGGTGCCGCACTCAACATCAGGCAAGATATTAAAGTTTATTTACAAAGGAAAGTCTCTCATTGGGAAAGCACGAGTTCACATTCCATCCGTTTTGCAGAATAACGCAATAATCCTATGTCATCAAAATTTATATATCAATAACATTTTTAATTTAATTATTAATTTAATTTTATTAAAGCTTTAACCGTATTCTGTTTAATCAATTATGATGTTAATATTCATTTGATTTCGTTTCATTTCCATGAATTGATATGTATGTTGTATTTTATTAAAATTGTAATATTGACTCTTACAATAATGTCCGTCTCGCTACTGCTTCTATTCTATTTTTGATTTAATTTCGCGAATGCTATTTATGCAACACACGTTACATCTAATATTTAAAAATAGAAAGGTACAGGTTTTATGTCAGACTCTTGTTCATCGAAAATCAATCGAATCCTTAATCTTGTCTAACAAGGCTTCCCATCCTCTCTATTACACTGTGAATATTAATTCTAGTTCAGAAGAGGATTTCTTGGTTGAGAATATTCCGACTTGTTCTCGATTTCGCGTAATCGCTATTTCTACAACTCGCACATAGACACGCGTGTCCATTTACATCCCTTTGCAGAATATTCTATTCTGGCGTTTAAACCAAAGACACGACGTTCGATCGATTCTCCCCATTTAGTACGAATACGACGCGGCACGTGGACATCAATCAATTAAGTCTCCAGAATTAGTGCAAGTTCTTGATTATTCCTACGTGTATGATATCGAGCGTTTGCTCCGAATCAACCTAATTGAATTTAAACTCGCATTTGCGTGTCAGTCAATCAATCTTAAAGCGCACATTCTCGCTGTCCTCGACAATTCGATTTGTATTTTACTTTTGATTTCATTTAAAGATACATTTTTTGACAGTATCATCAGCAATTATCGGCATAAAAATTCGAAGAAATAATATTTTTCACGGCAGAATAATCCGACATTTTGTCTCGTATCACATTTGGCTCGTTGCTACATTTTTATTACAGGTCAAAGACCGTGGACTTTTCACTGCGAATACCACTGTGGAGTCGTGGTTAACAAATGGTCGTGGCGCAACGTGCAAACACTTACGTAGCAATACGACAAGCTAACCCGGGAGATATGGCGAGCAATGGTTACCTGAGACGTGGCGCGCAGCTCGATCCGATCCCCGCCGCTCTCCTCGTTTATCTTCGTCGCGTTCGCCGTGGAATTCTCGGCCGGGGCGTCCAGATGTATCGTGAAGGTGGCACCGCGCATATAAAGGATGTCTTCGACCGCGTCTTCGTCATCCACGTTGTCCGCATTCGCTTCGTCGCTCTCGGCCTCGTCGGCGAATTCGCCGAGCTCGCTCGTGGACGGGGATGTCGAGTTGAGCTCTGTAACCGAATAGCCGTCGTTCTATTAGAAAAACTGTCGCGGACCAGCCCGGAATGTCGAATCAACCACGAGATATAACGTGGCTGCCGGAATTGCTTGTACAACGTTCCGCCGACAATTTATCGATTTCGGAGATTTTTTTTTATTGTTGTCACTTTTCTGCTAGCCCAATTAATTCTCGTTAGGTTGTCGCTGTCCATGGCTATTGTTGTCGCGAGAATTACGGTTTTTTCTTAACGGTTGCACGTCAAAAGCTGACTTCTATTATGTAACGTAATATATTTTTGTAATATATTTTTGTAAGTACAATTTTCTTGAATGTTAAAAAATTATAAATAAACTATTCGCCTGCTGGGTTTCTCGAAATTTGTTCAAAAATATGTTATTCAAACTAATCATTGATAACAAAATATTGTGTTGCAAAACATTTGCAAAAGTGTTAAACCGTTAACAAAAGGTTATTGTAAAATTTTGACCATCTCGAATTTCATTTTCAAACTGTTTCATTTGACTTATCCAACCGAACGCAACCAATTGTTTATAACAGCATGGTGGAAGCGTGTAGTTTTTCCACTCAATCTAATAACAAATTATTTCCCTGATTAAAAAAGAAAATGAGACGCTAATGAAACTGGGCGGTCGCATTTGCATTCGCAACTACTAATTCAACGCGGCAATTGTCAAGTAAATTATCGAACCACGAATTGAAACCGGTATAAATTCACTGAATTCAGATTTAGATGTCATTTGCATACGATAACGATCCTTGTATTTATTTACGGACAAACGACACGCAACAATGAAATTAGATCTTTCTTTCTACATCGTACTCATTTTTACTAACTGCGTCAGAAATTCAACTCACGAGTTGTAGAGATGTTATAAAATCTGCTGATAATGTGGAAAGCGGATTATTATGTCGTTACACATACAATTTGTCGATACATCGAAAAACCGCAAAATATTAAGAACAAAATGAAGTTTTCCACAATATCGTGTTTTTCAAAATTTACCCAAAAGTACAATGTATCATACAAAGGCAAGCTTAACACGCGTGACAAAAAAATGACTGTAAAATTTTATCCGTATCGATTTTAATTCTCGAATCAGTCATTTAAACCAACTCTTCCAATCTCGTATTATACGAGCGACGCATTCGCGCATTTAACTCTAAGAATTCGCGAACTGTTGCACGCGACGAATGATCAGTTCGTCGCACATGCAATCGGCGACGGTACCGAAGTGAAAGGTCGTTAGGAACTTATCCGTTGACCGCACACAAACTTCGTATCCATATGCGACACACATGAGTAGATGGTGTGCCGGTAGGGTAGTGCTCCTCGAGTTCCTTGAGCGCTGACCCAAACTCACTTACCCCGTTCATGTTGTTGTGAACGGGGCGCGGAAAGGGAGAGATAGAGAGAGAGATAGAGAGAGAGAGAGAGAGAGAAGGGGAAGATGGCGAAGAGTTCTAAAGCCCGGCGACCGCTTGAGGCGAGCTCGCGATACCGAACTTCGAGTTGCTATACGCTTACAGGTCCGCCTCATCGGTGTAAGCCGCGGCACGACTACGTGCGCCGCATCGGAAATTCGTGTATAGCGTTAATTTGGTTATTACCGGGCTTGCGGAATAATAACGCCGACCAGAGAGAGAGAGAGAGAGGAGGGGGGGGGG